TAGGATTACTGACGAGAGCCACCGGTGCCCGGCTACAAAAGCCTTTCTATAACCAAATGCAATGACTTTGCAGGTTAGCCAGTTGTTCTCTGGAAACTTGCTCATTCCTTGGTGATCTTGACATTGCACATTATCATACCTCTTCTCTCTTCTCTTTCCAATTCCCCTCTCTCTGTGTTCTCAATGAGAGCATTTCTGAATGCTGTGCATTCAACTTGTGCATCTCACAATTAGCCAATGGCTTCTATAATTACTTGCATATAATTGAATCTCAAGTTGATGCCTTTGATGTCTTTTACGATAGATATTTCCTCCATAATATTTCCCTTTTTCTTATTGTTTTTGGTGATACTGGAGTTTGAACTCCAGGCCCTATGCTTGCTAGACTGGTGCTGTATCACATGGGCCATAACTCCAGCCTTCAGAATGGTATTTTTAATCACTTCAAGTTCAAATATCTATAACTAAATTATCATTTGTCTTCTCTTTTCATTTGTTCCTCGTTCTATTCTCCCAGAGCTCTAATTTTAGAAATCTTCAAGTCCTTTGTTTTCTTTACTTATGAATTTATTTATTTATTTATTATTTTGTGTTGTTAGTAAAGCTTGAACTTAGTTACTAGGCACTGTCCCTTAGCTTTTTCACCACAGCTCCACTTCTGGCTTTTTGGTGGCTAATTGGAGATAAGATTCTCAAACTTTTCTACCTGGGCTGGCTTCAAACCATAATCCTCGGATCTCAGCTGCTTGAGTAACTAGGATTAAATCTATAAACCTGACTCCTTTGTCTTGTTTAAAACATTTATAATCTATTCCCTTCTTTCAACTGAAGTTATCCTGTACTCTCTAGACCCCATCCAATTTCTACCCTCCACCTCTGTCCTGATAGTCTATCTTGATGCCTTATTAATTTTCTTTTACTATGTCATCTTTTAGCTGTAAATAATTCAATTGAATCTTTATTACTAAATAAAACCTCTTAGAGAGTAGAACCCAGAACAATCAAAGATAAATTTATCTTTCCCAGTGATCTCACAAAACTCCACCATGACAGATTTTCACCTTTGCCATCCATGGGACATGTTTCTCATTCTTTTGTTATCTTATGGGTCAAAGTCCTTTCTCTTATCTTCCCAAATGTTACCCAGCCCTCATGACCTAGAATAAAGTTTCCTTACTCCTTAAATGAATCTTGCCTGGTCATTTCAACTAGAAGTGAGTTCTTTTCCTTCCTTCCTTCCTTCCTTCCTTCCTTCCTGCCTTTCTTTCTTTCTTTCTTTCTTTCTTTCTTTCTTTCTTTCTTTCTTTCTTTCTTTCTTTCTTTCTTTCTTTCTTTCTTTCTTTCTTTCTTTCTCTCTCTCTCTCTCTCTCTTTCTTTTCTTTTCTTTCTTTTTTTTTTTTAGTAGTAGGTCCTAAGCTCTGGACCTGGGGGCTGGGCTGTCCCTTAGCTCTTCAGCTCAAGGCTAGCTTGAGCCACAGTGCCACTTCCAGCTTTTTCTGCTTATGTGGTGCTAAGGAATTGAACCCAGGGCCTCATGCATGCAAGGCAAGCACTGTACCATTGAGCCGCCTTCCCAGCCCCGTGGGTGCTTTTCTTAATAACTTCGATTACATCTTAAATATGTTCCATGCTTACATTTAGAGATGTGTATTATTTCTGTGTAAAGTCTACATATTAGACTGTCAATTAAATTGACCCACTAGAAAGCAAAGCCAATACTTATATACCTATGTGATCTATGCTCTATGGAACATTTGTATAACTTGTAAACGCTCTTTCATTCTAGTGTCCACTACTTTGAAATTCCCCTTACACAAGAACACTCATTTTCATTCCTTGCCAGTCTAATATTAAGCCATTTTTTAACATTAGCAAGCCACTAAACATTATTACATACCTTCCCCCTTTCTGCATGTTTCCATTTCAAGAATAGTTGTTAGTAAAGCTTATTAAAACAAGCTTGAGCCCTGAAAGGAATACTCTAGTTTTCCCATGGTGTAATAGTAACCATTATTCTGAAACCTTTGAGCTGAATTCCCAGTTGTCACACACCTTAGAGGCAGAGGTTTTTCATATTTCTATGGGTCATCTTACTTAGCTACAAGTAAAAAAATCCATGTAATTTGTCTTAAGTTACACATGACTAATTCAGGGATTTTAATATACTGTTCCTCCAGATAATGAGTGTGAAGTTTTGGTATTTGAAGACTTTTAGACTTAAAGTTGTTAAGGTATCACATCTTTTGTGGTTAAGTGACAAAAACTCAAGCTAATGTAATGACATGAAGAATTCATACTTTACAAATTTGGATTGCTTTGGGCATGCTCAGCTCAATCTCAAAGACTGTTATTCTTTTTTTAAATAATACTAGGAAACTTTATTTTTATTTATTTAATTATTTATTTTGGTCAGTCATGGGGCTTGAACTCTGGGCTTTGGCGCTGTCCCTGTGCTCTTCAGCTCAAGGCAAGCGCTATACCGCTTGAGCCACAGCGCCACTCCTCAAAGACTGTTATTCTTATTTTTCTCTTTCTTTTTGCCTTTTAGCTCTTCCTGTCCTGGTTATTGACCTCATTTTCCCCTGTAGTAAATGTACATTCTCCATACAGCTGAGGAAGACACTTGCTGCCTACATCTCTTTCCCAATGATCTGTATGTAACTCCAAAGATGAGTCTAATTTGTTCTGTTTGGGTCTTATGCTCAAACCAGCATGAGTTACTGGAAGAAAGAGATGAGCTACATTGAGTGATACTACCTGGGTCATAAAACTACTCTAGTAGTAGAAAATGGGCAGGGAAAAGCAGAGTGACAGTTGCAAAACTACACAACATTAGGGGAAGAGGTCCATGAAGAAAAGGGTATGATTCTCAGAAGAATGGGGACACACAGTGGTCAGATACAACATTAAATAAAGCAAGCTACTTTAGTCTGCTTATTTCACTCTTTGTTCTTTCAGAGTATATAAATTCTATATCTTAACCCATATCTTAAAGCATGCGTGTTGTTCATCTCTATATTTAAAACAATGTTCTTCACAAAATAATCAGCCTTCAACTAAAATTAGATGTACCCAGCACCATGGTTAGCTATTGTCCCAGCTCTGTCAGGAAGTCTCTGAGAGAGATGCTATTCTTGGTTGTATTCTAATAGGACCCCTCTAGCTCCATGTGTTTTTTGAGCCAGCTATATAATCAACTAAACTAACTCCCAAATTCCTATTTCTAGTCAATAAAAAAGAGAAAGCAAGATAGCACAGCAAAATCTCCCCTTTAGAAAAGAGGATAGCAGCTAACATTACTATACATTTGAGCCTAAAATATGCTCCGTGAGCTTCCTTAATTGAGTGTTGAGTTGGTTGGTTACCTGTCTGACAGCTCTAGGCTAGCCTACTGAAGTATCTCTCATTTCCAGAATTTTCTGAGACCCCATCAGAGAGGTGAATAGGAAAGAATGTCTCTTCTGAGGACTGCTGCTTTAGGAGATCACCTGCTGTGGACTTGGTTACTAAAGCTGGAGAGTCAGCTTAGCACTTGAGTAATCACAAGCTCTCTCTGCTGGGTTTAGATTTAGTCTGGCAATTAAAATTGTCAAATGCTATGGAGTTTATTCCTAGAAACTCTAATAACCAGAGCCAGTCTTTGAAGGTTATAGTGCTTGAATCTAAGCTTCATCTTCACAATTCCAGTCTTTAAACTGCAGAAAGAAGATAGAGTCTATTCAACAATAGTCAATCTTTTTCTTTAATGTCTTAACCTGACCTTTGATCTTGGCCAACACCAAATGAAAGGTGGCCTATGATCTCTCAAGTTGTGTCAAAGTGGTGGTTCTTTACATTTGGTGAATCATTACCTCTTCTGGTCTCAACATATTCATCAAGAAGTGTTTAGGAGAGGTCTGGGCTGAGTCTTAAACAACTGGGTATCAATATAGAAACAGGCTGCTTAACCCAGCCTCCTGTATTTACTGTGTATGCCTATAGTAGCCACTTAACTGCTGGGTGTCTATTGTTCTCATCTACCAAAAGTACATACTAATACGTAGCCCCCACACTGTTCTTATGAGGAAGGAATGAGTTAACATATGGGAAAGACTTAGAACATACTGATGTAGACCCTAGTGACATCCACTTTTACAAATTTGTCCCCAACTTTTTACTCTACGGGGTTGTAATCTTGTCTCCCAATGGGTTTCCACTATTATATCATTATTTTTCATTCTTCAACAAGTGACTTAGAATTCACTTTTCCTGTTTCCACATTATCTGATCATCAGTTGTCCGCAGATACAAGGAAGTGAAGTCTGGCTAACAGTGCCACTACAGGACAGTGTCCCTACAGGACAGAGTTAATGCTGCAGACAAAGGAATGAGAAAAAGTATTGGAAACATTTTTAAAAGTATCTAATGCAGTACTTAGAACTTCATGAAATAATATCTTGAGTTTAGTTCCCTACATGCAAAGATGGAGAAAAAGATTTAGGTACATGTGACTTTTGAGTGATGGCTCCTTAGCAAAATCCCATGAAGGAATGAGGGGTTCAAGGTAAACAAGGGACCAGAGTTAGGAACGATGGAGTCTCTGCTAAAGGCTACATGTAGCCTAACTCATGGCCAGCACTTGGGCAAAAACATTACATATAGCAGAGTTACTTCTGACTTGAGATAAGGCTGCCCACTCTTTGGAAGCCCATATTAATCCATTACTGATCTAAGAGAACATTAATCTCAAGGGCAAAGTAGGCCTCATCCATCAAGGGTAATCATTTAAGAAGAAAACTTGTGAGCCATTGGCAGTCAGCACTACCTCTGAGTGCTAAGTGCATAGGCCAAGTAAGGAGAATCTTGGCTGACCACCAATGGAATCTACTATAAATAATAATGATAAATGATGATGGCTGTTATTTATTAAATACCATTGAGCTAACTAGCCCTAAACATGTATTGTGATTGTTCTTATTTTTCTTGAATATTCCTTTTATGTATTTTTCTTTCCAATACAGTGTATTTGGTGCAGGGAAGAAAGGACTTGCAAAAAATACTGTTTTCCATATGCTGGGTGTAAATTCAATTCTATATTTTGGGGAAATTGTAAAGGTAAGTTGTTCTTATTGTACATTATTTCAACTGACTTGCAAATACTAGTGATTTACTACATTGGAAGGATTTTAAACTATTATGTTTCCTTTAGCAAAACATAGCAGTTCAGGGCTATTCATCAGCAGGTTCCCTGATACGGCCTCATTGGTTCTTCCAGCCATTGCTGGTTCAGATGAAGTTCCACTCATTCTATCTGCAGAAGACTTACCATAGCATTTGTTAAATACTTGAATTTCATTTCTAACAGTATTCTATGTATGATATGCACAACCTAGTCTGGGAATATTTGTATTTTTTGCTGTTTTAGAAATTCTAAGAGTTCTTTATAAACTAGCCCTTGAATGAACTGATATGCTTAGTAGTCTTATAACCTATTTCTTCAACTCAGAAATAGGCTGATTAGCTTATAACCCAGTGTTGAGACTTACCATTCAGAATAATGAATCTATAAGACTGAGAAAATACCAATCACAAAAAAATTAAATTGAATCTGTAATGTCACACTTTTAATGTGTTATATGGTAATTATCAAGGTAGGAAAATCTACCAATCTCTTTGAAGGAGTTTCCCAGAAACATTGAAACAAAAGACATTCCAGCTAAACCCTTATGGTATGAAGAAACCTAATCTAGAACATCTAATTGGTTTTCTCTTCAGTGAAGTGAAAAAGATAATATTTTGTCCTTAAATTGCTACTAGTTCCAGGTATTAACAGACACATTTAAATCATACGTTAGTCCAAAGAATTAACACTTTTGTATATTTACTGGGAACAGAAAGTCTAGTTTCCTGTTTTCACTTTCTAGTTTCATTTGGTAGTATTCTGGACTAATACATTACATTGCACTAAAGGGGAGCAAATTTCCTATAATCAGAGATCTGACAATAAGCACCATCATCTCTTTGATAATGAAATGCTGACACTTAAACAACAAGCAATCTGTGCTATGACCTTCATAGAAACAGCCATCTGAGGTATCTGATATATTATCTTTGAGAGAGTACTAGAAATAAAATTAGAGATAAAGGAAAAAAATAATCCCAGTAGTTTACTATTTAGTCAATTTGGAGAGAAAGAATCCAAAAGCCACCTCCTATTTTTTGTTGTTTTTTTTTTTTTTTTGGTTGGTCATGGGGCTTGAACTCTGGGACTGGGCACTGTCCCTCAGCTCTTCAGCTCAAGACGAGCACTCTACCGCTTGAGCCACAGTGCCACTTCTGGTTTTCTAGTGGTTCATTGGATATAAGTGTCTCACAGATTGTGCTGCCTTGGCTGGCTTTGAACCATGATCTTCAGATCTCAGCCTCCTGAGCAATTAAGATTACAGGCATAAGCCACTGGTGCCTGGCCTAAATGTGGCCTTCTTTTAACAACTCAGATTATTTTCTAATGTCACTGATGCCTATGTTAGTAGCTTTATTTATTTATATAGCTTTATTTATTTATATGCATTTTGAAGAATCAGAGTATAAGAATACATTTTAAATCATGATTCATCATACTAGAAAACAAAAATGTAAGAATATTTTTACTTTGTTACTAAACTATATTTCTTTCGTATATTTCAGTTGACATGTTTGGAATCATGATGCTGATAATCATTGGAATATTGTTACTATTATTCGCCTGGTATTGCTGTGTCTATTCCTTTTACATGAGTCAGTATGTTCATTTTATCTTTAGTAAGAGTGTGCTTTGAGACAATATTGAAGAGAATGCTAACCTAGTTATCAGAAAATGTTTTATAATTTAATGTAATCAAAACAATATATCCACATAGCGAGGGAAAGTCAAAAAGTACAGAATATTGTAAGATTTAAAAAAATTAACTTTTATAGCCTATGTCTATCTCTAACTCTTTCTTTCCAGAAGTAATCCTGTTAAGTATGGTCCATTTGTAGGACTTCTGTTGATTTGTTGGACTTCTTTTCATGTCTTTTCTTTTTTCTTTTCTTTTCTTTTAATTACTGCGCCCCCCACCTAAATTGTAAAGTTCGTTTTTCGACATAGTGTGTCAACCTGTATCCCTATTTAAACAATTTGTTTTTGCCCTTCTGTTTCCCAAATTATACCAACATCCAATACAGTGAAAACAGGGCTTATACCATAGGGGAGGGACATACAAAGCAACAAAAAAAATCACATGGTACCTTATAAATACGTTAGAAACAATAGCAAGAAAGAAAAAAACCACTTGTGTCCTTATCTTGGGGTTCATTTAGCTTAACATCATCATCTTATCTGATCTTCTCTGCTTGTCTCAGATTTTCATGTCTTTTTAACTTACATATTATTTATTGATTTCCTCATCCTGGAAGCTGAAAATCTTGAACTCTCTATATCTTTCTTTTTGTCAGTTTGTTACTAGTGGATATTATCATTTTGTGATTTGGTGATTTTAAAAATTGTTTTATTTTATGAATCTTAAAAGTACCCTAATATGTTTGGTGGCTACTTTTTTGACTTTAATAATCCTTTTAAATATCTATTTCTATCTCAGTTCTCTTGTTATTTAAAATAAAATGGACTATCTATGATTTTTCTTTAACCTTCTCCTTCTATCTCCTAAATCAGTGTAATATTTATACTTTTTTCCTGTAGTTATAATTACAAAAGGTTTAGTCAAAAATTTTAACTGCTTTAACCTATAATTGTTTTAAATATTATTTATCAAAGAAAAAAGTGAAAGTAGGAAATGTAATTCTATGCCATGATGACATGTATTGCTTGAAAGAAAATGATCAAGTATGAGAATTGAATGGACTCCCTTGTTCTCCTTTTTTGTTAATATCATGTTGTATTTCTTCTAGTTCTATGTATAAGAAAGTCATAATGTATTTTAATGTTTCCCAGTTTAAAATTATTTTCATTACTTCTTGTTAACAAAAACACATGTATATTTATTCCTATCACTTGGAAAATTTATATTTGATTACGTATTTTCATCTGTGTCCTCTAGGCATTCTTCTGATATCCTGTTCTAAGTTACAAAAATGATTTTCTCTGTCATTTATGTTTCTCTTTTTAGGATTCTTTTGTCCAACATTATCTTAGACTAAATCTTAAGTAACTTTTTCCAAAAAGGTTTACAGATGTTTTAGAAAGTTTTTCTATAGTTCATACCTTCCTACACTGTTGTCTTTTCTCCATTGTCCTATAGTCCACTATGGTATAATTTTCCTTTTTTCAGATTAACTACTTTTTCTAAGAAGGACTCATTAGACAAAGCAGATAGAACCAAAGATAAATAGCTATATATTAATAAGCCTCCCTGTAAGTCACACATGCTTATAAAAATAATGAGTGTTAGCCAAATGTTTTGTTGTCTTGTTGATCTCCTCCATTTCATCTAGAGATGTGTATTTTTATTGCCTTCATACTTCATATCCCTTCATTTTTAATATACAAGCACAAATCGGTAATATAAAGATATTCTTTCTTCTTCTCCTCCTTTCTCTCCTCCTTTTTTATGCCAGAACAGTGGATTGAATGGCCTTGGTTCTGTTCCTTAGCTTACTCTCTTAAGGCTGACCATTTACCAGTTGAGTCAAAGTTCCACTTCCAGCTTTGTGCTGGTTAATTGGAGCTGTGTTTCTCATGGACTTTCCTGTCTGGGGCTGACTTTGAACCAAAATCATCATGTATCAGCCTCCTGAGTAGCTAGAATTACAGCCATATTCATACCACCAATGCCCTGCCTGATATTTCTCATTCTTTACCTTATAACAAAAAACGAAGAGATAAAAGTTAATGGTACACATTATATCAATGGCAAAAGGCTGCTATTTATTTTTTTTTCTTTTCATAATTCTAGCTGACTGCCTCATCACTTTTTTGTACAGTGAGTGAATATGAAAAAAAGTGGCTTACTCCCTTCTAACAGTAAGGCTAGAAAAAAACCTATTGCTAAAGTGTCATTTATCTACATTTATCTAAAGGAAGAAGCCTGAGTCTTCTCTTCAAATATGGTTCAACACTTGTACTTCCTTCTAGTGTACCTTAACTCTTCACTTATTTCTTCTCTCTGGATTTCTACTAGAGATATTCCAAAGTTTTTAATCACACATATACATAAAAAAGAAAGATTGAATACTTGCCTTCATGAAGCTTACATTGTACTAAAGGGAATACAAATAAACAATTATAAATTATATTGCTTTTTTGATATTTTGACTTACATTTCATTAATTTTAGTTATATTTTTCTTAAATGCTTTAATTTTCCTGATGGATAAATAAAAGAATTCAATTTAATCTGACAAGGAATGAACTATTGCTTAAGTATGACATATATGATTAAATAAACTAATTTCATCTATAACCCTATCTTAAATTCTAAATTTGTCATTTTGAACAGACCTCGGACCTATATTTATAGAAGAAATGGAAGAATTACTGTTGAAAACTGGGACCCTTCTGGCAAGTGCTTTTTTTATTTGATAAAATGCTCTAAACTTTTTCAGTAGTTAGCAGTCAGAAAGAATTCCTTAATTTTTTCAGTCATCAAAAGTAAAATATGAGTAGGAAAACATGGCATTTCAATGTTCTAATTTCATCTTTTCTAATATATACTTTTGTAACCTCACTAATTACTCTAAGATGGATAAAATTCACAATGTTGGGGATGGATTGCTTCTCCAGTTCCTCCAACTCCCACTCTGCCTAGACAAGTCTACCTAAGATGTCCCTTGCCTGAAGGAGCCATTATAAGCTTGTCCAAATGAACACATTTCATCTTATATAGTTCCTGCAACACTCAGTGTCCATGCTGTTTAACTGGATTCTTTAAATGTTTCCTTAGGTATAAGGTTTGTTCTTACTCAGGGTTCACATCCTGGCTTCCTTTGGTTCTATAGTTCCTAGGCAGACCCATGCATTGCTACAACTCTGTCAAATCTTCAGGTCTAGAACCCAGCTGGACTCAGAACTGTGGCCTCTTATTCAGTTGAGTAATTGGACCACAAATTTTCAGATGTGAATAATACCACTAAGAAGGAGTACTTCACTGTCCATTATAATTACCATGAAAATAACTTGACAAGGCAGGGGGAATCTAGAGTATTATATTACTCTGGACTGTAGAGGTATAATGCTAAGCAAGGTAGAAAAACCCGGGGAGCATATTTTAGGTTACAACATTTTGAATGAAAAACAGGGTAAACCTTAAAAGTCAAGAATAAAATGCTAAGCACATATACATACATTGCTAATTGCTGAATCTTTTAATAGAGAAATTACTTGAATAGTAATGGAATTATTATGTCTTAGAAAGGGAGCTAACAAGATACTTCTTGTGTTGAAATCAAGCCAGAAGCCTGTAGAAAATAATACTGCATTGCAACTTTACTACATTTAAATTTCCACAGGAATTTCTAGGAGAAATGCTTTGAAAATTGTGCAAGATTGGATAATTCTTAAGGCAGATGTAACTCATAGATTGCAACTCTTTAATTACATTAGAAGGGAAAAAAAGAAATCAAATTCTTAAGGCAGAATTATTTCCCATCCAGGAGAGGGTTGAGAAGAATGCCTATATAACGGATTGCAAAAGTAAACAGAATTCTACAAAGGTGACTCGTAGGATAGATTCAGTTTCATTGAGCACCCGCAGACTTTCTGTCACCGAAAACAGCTAGTATTATGGTTTTGTCAAATGCTTACCTTTTCCCCTCGGTCAAATTCACACCCAGATTGATGGAACCTTCTCTTACCTGACCCCTAAATATTAAAATAGCAGTAACATAAAACTCAAGAATCCTTTCTATTATTTATGGATATTTTGTGGTTATTTTGAATTACATAAAATGTCATTGACTTTTGTTAGAAATTGGAAGCTAAACATTTTCTTTTTTTTTCATATGATCAATAGGAGACTAAAACGATCTTTTAGAGTGAGAAAGAGGAAGTGTCTTCAATGGTAAGATTTTTCAATAATATTGTATGAATTTCTTTTTTTTATTTTATTTGTGAACATACTGTACAGAGGGGTTACAATTACATGGGCAGGATAATGCGCACATTTCTTACCAAGCATTGCAGCCTCCTCCTTTGTTTATCCTTCACATCCCTTCACAGCCCCCCC